ATCTTTGTGAAGAAAAACCGTCCACCATTAAACAGAGGTGGAGGCCTTCGTGTCCAGTTTTCCTCCTCCTACAAAGCTGTTATTGTAAGTATGACTCCACCCCCTGTGAGCAAAAGGTGTCAATCAGGGCCCCAACGATGGTCAGGTGAAAGGCCACATGACTTTATATAAACAATGGAGCCAGTCAAGGCACTAACGACCTATAGTGTGGCTGATGGCCCTCTTTTGCATATGACTAACCTGTTTGTCCACCATGTGGAGGCAGTGCTTATAAGGCTGAGTTCACATGAAACTCATCAGACTTAAGAAGTCTCTTGGAGGAGAGACGAAATGTTTCACTAAAGAAGAACCCGTCCAGACCTACTTATTTTTTCATTTATAAACTCACCACATGGATTACTGAGGTTCATTGGGACATTACTAATGTTATATCTTTGATTATGCCTTATTTCCCTCTTGTGCCACAGGTTTTATTCAAAATCAGAGAGTCTTTCAGCTCAGCAATGCACAGAGGACTGTAAGTTTTACCCTTTACTGAAATAAGTACATTCTTTGGTGCATCATTTTTTTGGTTTAATATGCCGATCGGGATATGAAACAAAAACATGATGTACAAAAAATACCTTGTAAAATCTCCAGATGGGTGGCTCGATGTGCATACAGTGCTTTCAGCGTCATCTTTCTCTGCGTCAATGTGTCATGTGCCGTTCTGGGGGACCGAGATGGCAGCAGTAAGACGGGAAAGTGGACCTGGAAGCTGGTTTTGGTCAGAGTAATTGTCAATGACTTGCTTTTCATCATGAATGCAGTGCTGTTGGCTGCGGTGCTGTTGATCCTGACCCGGCACTCACGCTCTGCCAGCCCCTACATGATCAACAAGGTGAGCTGAGCTTTGCTCTTCAAAAGGATAGTGTGTGAAAAGTGCTAAAAGAAACACAAATTAAAATTCCACTCTGGTAATTGTTCAGGATTAGTCCTAACTAGTTGTTGGTAAAACAAAACAAAACACTGGAGTAATTTTTTTTTCTCTGACCAGGGGACTACAGTGTGCCGAACAGCAGCATTAGGAGCTGCAGTCATCATCTTGTTCACCAGTCGAGCCTGTTATAACCTGGCAGTCCTCGTTCTGTCCAAGAAATACCCAGTAGAGTCATTCAACTATGACTGGTACAATGTCTCTGACCAGGTAAAAAATAAATGACAAATTACACTAACAGCTTTAGGCAATCAGATTTTCTGTGTTTAGTATTTTCATCCCAAATTATAACATCCAACTTCTAAAGGCAGATAAAAATAAATTTTTTTGCTAATAAATTGATCAAATGAACTGCTATTTCTCTCAATAAATAGTGCTGAAGGTTCTGTAATGGCTTGGCTTGACATGACCTGTTAAATAATAACTTACAGCGGGTAAAATAAGTATTGAACACGTCACCATTTTTCTCAGTAAATATATTACTAGAGGTGCTAATGACATGAAATTTTCACCAGATGTCGGTAAC